GGCATGGTAGCACATGCCTGTAATTCCAGTTACTCAGAAGGCTGAGGCGGAAGGATCGCCGGAGCCCAGCAGGTCGAGGCTGCGGTGGCCGGGAGCAGCCACTGCACTCCAGTCTGGGCGACAGAGTGAGACTCCAACTCAAAAAATAAAAAATAAAATAAACAGCAAACAAGTTACTCCCTGACTTAATAAGGGGATAAAACTGAAAATTCCTAATTTACTGAAACTTAAACAGCCTTTTCTAAAAAGTCAGCACACAGCTGCGTGTGAGAGAAAAAGGAACTCCCGTGTGGAAACTGGACCTGGCATCAGCATATTCTAAGCACAGCAAAAAACGCATTCCCTGAAGTAGCAGACGCCAAAGCAAACGAAGGCCGTGGCCGTGACTGCAAGCAGCATGAATGAGGCGCCCCTGCCATGAGGAGGCCCATGGAGGCCCTTGTAACTCTGCTGTCAGCCGGTGCCGCCGTCACACACAGGCCCAGCCCGCAAAAGCGCACTCGGTCGGGCCAGTCGTGTCGCAGAGCTGGGGTGTTGGTGGCTGGTGCAGGAAGGTGCCTATCACCCACAGACACGCCCAAACTCGAGCTACAGAGAGGCAGCCTGCCCCGGCACCCCATGCCTCTCCGCAGGCATGCTGCTCCCAGACAGGGACCCGCGGGCTGCGGCCCAGACGGCGGGTGACACTCACAAGTGGTCCCGCACACAGCCTTCTCCTTGCCCTCCAGCAGGTCCCACAGGTGCATGGAGGCGTGCTCGTACTGCTCGCTCAGCCTGAGGGCGACAGAGAAGCCGCATGTCAGTGGCCTCGAAGGGGTACCCGCGGACGCCCACAAGCCCCCAGACAAAAGCCACGCTACCGCAAACTCATGTCCCGCTCCGGGTCCACCAGCTTGTAGAAGTCATCCAGCAGGGACAGTTCCTCCTCACACAAGATGGGCACCCCGCTCGGGCCCTGCCTCAGGTCGCCGCGCACCTCCTCGTCCCCCAGCTTATCCAGGACGTACTGCAGCTCCAGGACAGTCTTCAAACGCTTCTGCTCAGCCTCTTCTCTCATGAGCTGCTCCCGACGTGCCGTCTTCTTGATTGTCTTCTGGATCTGCCAAAGAATACCAGACACCAAAATGAGCTGTGCAGAGCTCAGTTCAATCCACTTCAGATCCAGTGTCAGCAGGACAGTCTCACCCAGCAAGCTCCATGTGCCTCAATGCACAAAGGAATGGCTCCGGATTTACAAATGTAGTTGAAGCATCACTTGGTTTAAACAGTTAGAAATTCAGAGCTACTGATGAAACAATGTATTTGAAATTTGCTACAAAATCATCTGGAGGACAAGGGGGTACAAGGAACTGGAGGCGGTTGACTGAGACAGAACTGCTCAAGAGGCAGTAACTCAAATTCTGCTGGGTGCGGGTACCAAGAGAGCGGTTCACTAGGCTGGCCCGGTGGCCTGTAGTCCCAGCACTCTAGGAGGCCTAGGCGGGAGGACTGCCTGAGCCCAGGGCAACAGAGTAAGACCAAGTCTCTACAGAAAATTTTAAAAATTAGCCAGGCATAGTGGCAGACGCCTATAGTCCCAGCTACTCAGTAGGTTGAGATGGGAGGATCGCCTGAGCCCTGGAGGTAGAGGTTGGGGTAAGCCATGATGGCACCACTGCACTCCAGCCTGGATGACAAGGAGAAACCTTGACTCAAAAAAAATAATACGATAAAAAAGTGGTCCTTCATATCTTTTATTTTTGTATATATGCTTGTAACTTTCCATGAGTCTAAAAATTTGAAATTTCCAAAATGTAGCAACTATAGAGAAACTGCCCATAATAAAGAGTATCAAAATTAGAACCAAAGGCCTGGACAAATTAAAAAAGAAATCCAGCTGGGATGGGTGGCTCACGTCTATAATCCCAGTACTTTGGGAGGCCAAGGTGAGAGGACTGCCAGAGTCTATGGGTTTGAGACCAGCCTGGGCAACTTGGCGAGACTTAGTCTCTACAACAAATCAAAAAATTAGCTGGGCATGGTGGCACATGCCTGTAGTTCCAGCTACTTGGAAGGCTGAGGCAGAAGGATCGACCGCCTGAGCCCAGCAGGTCGAGGCTGCAGTGGCCGTGAGAGTGCCAACGCATTCCAGCCTAGGCAACAGAATGAGACTCCAACTCAAAAAAGAAGAAACTTAACCACAGCAGCATAAAGACCCTACCTGCCTGTAAGTCCTTGGTGGAGCAGTGATGCAGGTCTAGCTCGGAGTAACTGACAGTACTGATTCATGGGAGATGCCACACTCACCAGTGCCCCCAGCCAGACCCCAGACAATTCACTGTCTTAGAGAGGCATTCCTACACACTTAAACCACGACGATGGTAGACCTGGCTTTCTTTCCTTTCCTGAGTCAGGATCTCAGTCTTTCATCCCGGCTGGAGTGCAATGGTATGATTATGGCTCACTGCAGCCTCAACCTCCTTGGCTCAAGCAATCCTTCCATCTCAGCCTCCTGAGTAGCTGGGACTACAGGGGCATACCACCAAGGCTAGCTACCTCTTTTGATTTTTTTTCTTGTAGAGATGAGGTCTCGCTATGATGCTCATGCTGGTCTCAAACTCCTGGGCTCAAGCAATGCCTCTGGCCTTGGCCTCCCAGAGTTGCTGGGATTACAGGCTGAGCCATCGCACCCAGCCTGTTTCTCTAAGTAAGATGACACTGACAGAGAAAGAAAAAGTGGCAGCACAAGACAGATCAAGGTAAATATGAGTGTATCTTTCCCATATTATTTTTCCTTCTCTGGAAAGGCTGAAGAGAGAAGGCATTAGCCACACCCCATTCTAAAATTTCTCTCTTCCTTTCTTGTATCTAGCACCAGCTTGGGGCCACAGAGAGGTCAGTCTACCCAAGAGCCAGGGCAATGTCTTCCTTCCCACTGTGTCACCTCCCGGAACGCACGAGGATGAACTGAGGCAAGAAGGCACGTGAGGCCTACGCTGACAGCAGAAGGCAGGAGCCTGAGCTAAACGATGTGGCCACCGCATGGCCAATCTACTAGGGCCGCAGAGCAGGCAGCAGATGGTGCAAGCAAAGCCAGCACGAGCCAAGCGCTGAGAATCCTCCGAGCAGGGCGCCCAAGAAGCTCCCGAGGAGGTGACATTCAAGAACACGAATGAACCTGGCAATCTGGAGTCATGGCAAAGGGCAGGTCTCCAAATGTGGCTGGAGGCAAAAGGCAAGGAAGAGAGGCCGGATGGAAAGTGAAAGCAAAAGAAACAAGGTCAGAGGAAAGCTCCTCCAGGTGCAACAAGACCAGAAGTCGAGCAAGGGCAGGGTGGAGCCGGGCAGAAGGAGCTAGAACCAGAGAAGCTCAGGAATCATGGAAGTCATGGAGGACCAGAGCTACACACACACACACACACACACACGACGCCAAGGAAGTTAAAGTTCAGAGAAAGTCCTGAGGATACCAATGTGACAAAACAGACATAAAAAGGACACAGGTATTTTCATTTAAAGAGACAGAAGCAACCAGGCATGTTGGCTCACGTGTATAATCTCAGCACTTTGGGAGGTGGAGGCAAGAGGATTGCCTGAGTACAAGGGTTCAAAACCAGCCTGGGCAACTTGGCAAGACCCATCTGTACAAGAAATAAAAAAAATAAATAACCCAGGTATGGTGACACTTGTCTGTAATCCAAGCATTTTGGGAGGCAGAGGCGAGAGGATTGCCTGAGTTCACGGGTTCAAGACTAGCCTGGGCAACTTGGTGAGATCTCACTTCTACAATGAATCAAAAAATTAGCCAGGTGTGGTGGTGCATACCTGTGGATGCAGCTACTTGAAAGGCTGAGGTAGAAGGATCACCTAAGCCCAGTAAGTCGAGGTTGCGGTGGCCATGAGCACGCCACTGTACTCCAGCCCAGGTAAAAGTGTGAGACTCCGACCCAAAAATTTAAAAATTTTTTTTAAGTGACAGAACCCTCAGAAGCAGGAGTGGTACTACCCTGTGTGGCAATCCTGCTTCTACTGCCCATGTTGTAAAGAAAGAAACTGGAGGACAGATGCAGTGGCTCAGGCCTGTCATCCCAGCACTTTGGGAAGCCAAGGCAGAAGGAGTGCTTGCGCTCAGGAGTTCAAGAGCAGCCTGGACAACAGGCGAGACCTTGTCTCTATAAAAGAGAAGAAATTTTTTTGAGTTGGAGTCTCACTCAGTTGCCCAGACTGGAGTGCAGTGGCCGCTCCCGGCCACCGCAGCCTCGACCTGCTGGGCTCCGGCGATCCTTCCGCCTCAGCCTTCCAAGTAGCTGGAACTACAGGCGCGTGCTACCACGCCCGGCTAACTTTTTGATTTATTGTAGAGACGAGGTCTCGCCAAGTTGCCCAGGTGGGTCTCGAACCCACGGGCTCAGGCAATCCACTCACCTCAGCCTCCCAAAGGCGCGGGATTACAGGCTGAGCCACCGAGCCCAGGTGAGAAGAAATTTTTAAAAATCAGCCAGGCATCACAGTATAGCAGTCCCCGCTATTCAGGAGGCTGCGGCCAAAGGATCGCCTATACCCAAGAGGTGGAGGCTGCAGTGAGCCATGACGACACCACTACACACCAGCCTGGGGGATGGAGTGAGACCCCAACTCCCAAAAGAAAGAAACTGGGCTGGGACTATCAAGCCAAGTGGAATAAATCCCTAGCTGGGTGCTACAGCTTGCATGTATCCCCACAAATCCAAGTGTTGAAAACTTAACCTCCCAGTGCACAATTGCTGGGAGGCAGGGCTTCCTGGGTCCCCTCCCCTCCGGAATGGACTCATGTCACTATGCCTGCAGGGGTGGCTTGCTCTGCCTGGCCCTTAAGGCTTCCACCACAGGAGGACAAGAGAAGGCCGGAGGCCAGTGCCCTGATCCAGGGCTCCTCAGCCTACAGTTGGCAATAAGTAAATCTCTGTTCTTTATAAACCAGTCTCAAGTGCTCTGTGAGAACAGCACTAAGATGACGAAGGCACTGGGTGTAACTCAGTTTCTTTTCTGTTTTCAGGCAAATTATCAACATTTTCCTTAATCCTAAGTGCTTGAAAAATATTAATTATGCACCAAATACTGTTCTAAGCACAGTGAGCAAGGAGAATTATCACCATTTTACAGAGTGGAAAACTGAGGCTCTACTGACCGTCCCTCTCCCCCTCAACCTCCTTCTACCCTGTTGGTTCCGTTTCTCTGGAAAACCTTGACTAACACAGGAACACAGAAATCCAGTAACTCATCCCAGTCAGCTACCAAGTAAAAGCGGCAGAATTAGGGTTCAAAGCAGACAGTTAGCTTCTAGAATCAGATCTCCTAATCCTTGTCTTTCATCATACAGTAAACCGTTGCTTCACTTCACCAAATCAGAGGCAGCCTTATACAGCCGTGAACTGCTCAACAACAGAGACATGAGAAACACACCGCGAGACAACGCTGTCCCAGTGTGGCCATTAGGATGTGCCCCTACAAGGCTGGACAGCGCGGCCCACCACACACCAAGGCGCTGTGGTGCAGCCCACAGCTCCCAGGCTACAAATGGTGCAGCCCACACCTATGCTGAGTACTGCAGGCGGCTCAAACACAGTGATGCGTATCTTTGTATCCAAACATAGAAGAGGTAGAGTAAAAACACGGCCCTGTATCCTCAGGAGACAACCGCTGTGCCCATGGCCCGCAGCTGAGCAAACACGGCCGCGCAGGGCAAGGCTGCAGTTCAGAACGACTAATCTTCTCCAAATACACCGAAACTTACTCAGAAGCTTCCATGTTCTGATTTAAACAAATTATTTGACTCTTGACTGTATGTTGTTTCTGTCCTATTACCAAAAGCTCCTATCACAGCAAAAGCTATCTGGGAAAACTCCACCCATTCCGCTGCACCAAGAGTTGACACGAGCAATGTAGCCTCAGTCGGCCACACCCCACAGGATCCCACGCAGAGCAGGACTGCCATTAGAGAGACAGGCCTCTCAATTTTCTGACAGTTCATGAAATTGTGGACGGTCTTAAGCACAAAGGAAGATATGGAAAACAAATGCTGACCATGCTGCCATGTGTTTACCCAGCTCATGCTTTAAAGCAATGAGAAGATCTTTAGGGTAGTTACTATTATCTCAAACTCAGTCCTGTTTTTATTCTTTATTTTTAGAGACAGGATCTCACTATGTTGCCCAGGCTGAAACATGGTGACTATTCACAGATGTGATCATATGCACTGCAGCCATGAACTCCTGACCTCAGCCTCCCTAGTAGCTGGGACCACAGGTGCAGGTCACAGTTTCTGGCTTCAACCTCAGTTCATTTGAAAGACATTACGTGTTACATGAAACTTGATGGAACTGGAAAACATCTGAGATATAACTGGATCTAATTGTCTCACTTTGCAGAGAACCTATCAACAGTAATGGAAGGACTAAAACGCGAAGAAACAAAATTATCCACTAACCCTATTTTTATTACTCATAAACATACATGTTATCTTTTACTTACGTCTTGACTTAATGCCATGAAGCTCCTCTGTAACTCCTTTGCAAACTCCAAGTTATTTGTGACTTCCTGGTACTTAGACACGGCATCCTAAAATGGTAGAAGAAACCCAGCATCACTGAAAACACAAAGAACCACAAAGTTTATTTTCTTATTTAAAGCAGTGAGTATAAAATCTTAAAAATGTAACATCTTTACCAGCTGATCTTGGTTAAGCCTTTCCCCTTTGTTCATTCGTTCCTGGTAATCATCAAGCTTACCCTACATTAAAAAAAAGAAAAAAAAAGAATTATATTCCACATGGAAGGTATATACCAGCATAAGCATGTAAAACAACAAAACCCACACACCCCTCAAAGCTTGTTTCAAATTGTGCCTTAAATATATTCTAAGTTAGGCTTATTGGGGGTATAATTTAGCCCTCTTAAGTATACAGCTTGATCCAACTTTTAAAAATGTGGACAGTCTCGTGAATCAGGATTCAGAACACGTGCACACCCTCAAAGTCCCCAGTCCCTTGACCTCCACCCTTTGGCCACTGACAACTACTCACCAGATCCATCCTTAAAGTTTTAGCTTTAGCAGAGTGTCACATAAATGCAACATACCGTATATAGTCTTTTGTGTCTGGCTTCTGCCACTAAGCAAAACACTTTTGTGGTTCATTCATGACTTAAATGTATCTTTCCTTTTTACTGTTGAGTAGTATTCCACTGTATAAATGTATACCACAGTTTGCTTATCTGTTCAGCTGCAGAACATATCTGGGTTGCTTCCAGACTTTCGTGATTATGACTAGATAGATCTGCTCTATCAGAGGACAGGTCTTGGTTTTTGTTTTAATTGTAGAGACGAGGTCTCGCCAAGTTGCCCAGTATGGTCTCGAACCCGCAGGCTCAGGCAATCCACTTGCCTCGAACTCCCAAAGCGCTGGGATTACAGGCTGAGCTGCTGAGCCCAGTCAGAGAACAAGTTTTGATGTGGAAATAAGTCTTCATTTTTCTTGGGTAGGGAAATTTTGCCTTAAGTACACTTTTAGAGCCACTGCTAAATATCAAATTCTGTATTGTAAACCCTGACACAACACCGCTTGCCCTTTAGAAGACTCAGAACTGAGTGTCAGATGGGCCGGGCATTTGGGTCCTACCATAGGGGTAAGGACTACAATTTGGTTAAGATCCTACTCATACCCAAGTGAGCATATCAGACATACATACATACTTCTTTACTTAAGTCAGAGTGTCATTGTATCACCCAGGCTGGTGTTTATTTGTTCATTTGGTCATTCATTCATTTAGCTATTTATTGAATTAGAGTCTCACTCTGTCATCCAGGTTGGACAGCAATGGTGTGATCACGGCTCCATACCCTCCAACTCCCGGGCTCAGGCAATCCTTCTGTCACAGCCTTCTAAGTAGCTGGGACTACAGGCACACACCACCAAGCCTAGCTCCTTTGTGTGTAGAGGGGAGGTGGGTAGGTGGGTGGAGAGGAAGTCTATGTTGCCCAGGCTGTCTTGAACTCCTGGCTCAAGCAAGACTCCTGCTGGGATTACAGACGTGAGCCACCGCACCTGGCCCAGACAAAGTGTAAAATTTTGGTCCCTACCTCTCTCTCCACCTCCTCAAAAATTCACGTGGATAAGGTCCAAAGAAAGGATATTCTAATAATTAATAGAGTCAAAGATTGCTATTATTGTATGGGTTTTAAAGGATCAGGAATAAGTAGAAATCCACATTATGGGGAAAATATTTAAGATTACATACACACACACACACACACACACACACACACACACACACACAGAGAGAGAGAGAGAGACAGACACACACACACATCCTTACACCCTCAACAATGATAAAATCAACTAGGAAACCAAGTCAAAGTAAAGTTCTAATAAGGGCATTTTGAGGCACAGAAACAAGTTTAAAAGCAATGGTAATAAGGTTTTTAGGTCAAATGATCCATTTTCTTTGTACCGGAAACATGTCAATTTGCTTAGCCATTCTACACTAAATTGAAAAGCCTATCACAATTCCTTAGTTACAACAGAGGTAAATAAAGCCAAAACAATCAACAAAACACTAAAGGACAATAAAAGTCGACAATTTTATTCTTAGATGTACTATTTCACACAATCCAAACAGGCACAGAACTTAAGTCTACTGACTGAAAACAAAGTTTTCTGCACTGATCAGGCGGGTCCCACCCCAGGTGCAAAAGATGTTCCCAACTATCTCAGAACTCTATAAGGATCAACAGACCTTCTCTTCTCAAAGAAGGTAGCCCATTTTTTCTTTTGAGAAACAAAAACACTTGCAGTGGCTCACGCCTGTAATTCCAGCACTCTGGGAGATGGAAAAGACAGGATTACCTGAGTCCGGGGGTTCGAAACCAGCCTGGGCAACTTGGCAAGACCTCATCTCTAAAACAGATCACAAAATTATCTGGGCATGGTGATGCACACCTGTGGTTCCAGTTACTTGGAAGGCTGAGATGGAAGGACTGCCTGAACCCAGCAGGATAAGGCCATGGTAGCCATGAGCGTGCCACTGCACTCTAGCCTGGGCAATAGAGTGAGACGCCTACTTAAAAAAATAAACAAAAACACAAAGACTTACTTTTAATTCATGACTTAGTATATTCTAAAACAAAGCATTATAATCAGAACTCCACTTTTTAAAAATCTGCAGACAACAGCTGAGCATGGTGGCTCACACCTGTATTTCCAGCACTTTGGGAGGCCGAGGTAAGAGGACTGCCTGAGTTCAAGGGTTCAAGACCAGCCTGAGCAACATGACAAGACCTTGTCTCTACAATAAATCAAAAAAAAATTAGCCGAGCGTGGTGGCATATGCCTGTGGTTCCAGCTCCTTGGAACACTGAGGCTGAAGGATGACCAGAGCCCAGCAGATCGAGGCTGCGGTGGCCATGAGTGTGCCACTGCACTCCTGCCTGGGTGACAGAGACTCCGACTCAAAAAAGTCTACAGACAACAGAAAATATGCAGATAGACGGGCCTGTAGCCCATGCTGAAGCAATGACTTGGTGCCAGGCAAAGAACTCCTTGAGCATGTATGCTTGGCATTGCCATCACCCCCATCTTCCTGTGGTACCATGCATTTTTCAAGAAAATTGTGGCTAAACCTAGAAGTTAATACCCAGGAAGTGTACTGTCCCCCATGGGACAGTTTATACACCCAACCAAAATGGAGGTGAAACCGAATTCCTAAAAAATACTGTATACATGGAAATAAGTATGTGAAGGTAACAAAAAAGGTGAAAGTGGCACCTGAGTGGTAAAATGAAATGTTTTCCTTTTGCTTCTTTTATGTACTTAAATGCTGTACGATGAACATATAGTTTGCATAACAAAACCAGCTAGAAGCCGGGCTCCGTGGCTCAGCCTGTAATACTGCGTCTTTCTTTGGGAGGCTGAGGTGAATGGACTGCCTGAGCCTGCGGGTTCGAGACCCGCCTGGGCAACTTGGCAAGACCCATCTCTACAATAAATCAAAATGAGCCGGGTGTGGTAGCGCGCACCTGTAGTTCCTCTACTCAGAAGGCTGAGGCGGAAGGATCGCCGGAGCCCAGCAGGTAGAGGCTGCAGTGGCCCGGAGCAGCCACTGCACTCCAGTCGGGGCAACAGAGTGAGACTCCAACTCCAAAACAAACAAACAAACAAAACAAACAAAAAAAAAAACCCAACTAGAACTGCATGCTGTGTAAGCAGTGCCAAGAAGGGCAATTCCAGGACCCTGGCAGAAGTCGCTGGCCGGTGGCGATCCTTGAGAGTGAGCCCACAGGCTCCTTCAGCAGGACAGGTACCCGCAGTGGAAAACCTCCCCTTGTCCCCACAGTGACAGATTTAACACCCGTCAGCCCCAGCACTACGGCAAACTGCATTTCTCAAAGATGGCTGGCTACAAAGTCTGCGGCCCCACAAACGACTCCACAGTGTGGCCTGGAGCACCCCCATCAGGACCAAGTCCCCATTGCCTGCCTCAGTACCTGAGGGAGCTCTCAGCCAAGAGCGTGAAGATGCAGTGTGACCTCCTCGGCGGGCGCACCTCCACCCTGTCTGCTGATGCCTAGACACGTGTGCTTCAGCCCTGAGTCAGCCCCGGTGCACAGCCCCTGGGTCGCAACGCCGCAAGGAAGCCGTGCCGAGTTGGTCTCGCCAAAGAGCTCCACCGGCATCCAGTGCTCACACCACCTCAGCCCCAGCGACAGACATGCACGAACGGGTCTCTGTCTTCCCACCCAAGGACCCAGGAGTCACAGCAACCCCAACCCTGCAGCGCATCCTGTTTGAATCCTTGCAGGCAGAACCTGTGCTTTAGCCAGGAGTCTGGGACTCATCTATCACCCAGCGGTAACCGGAGCAAGATTTGAGGAAAATTGGAAGCAAGGAGAACAGCCACTGCGAAGCCAGCCTCTCGCCCAGCAGCCGTGAGCGCACGTCCCGTCCGCAGTGAGGGTATGCAAGGGACTCTGCGTGGCCACACAGAGGCCATGCGCTTTACTAAGCTCAGCCCCCTACTCACTTTGATGTTGTTATCGCTGACATGTTCCAGGTTTTCCAGACCACAGCGATGTAGAGGCAGAGACCGCCACTAATGCCCAAGACGTGAGCAGACAATGGCAAGGACACAAGTGTCTAAGGCTCAGGCAGACAAACTCAGAAATCTGGAACAAGGCGAGTCTCAACAGCTCAAGCCTGTAATCCCAGCACTCTGGGAGACTGAGGCAAGAGGACTGCTGGAGCCCAGGAGCTCAAGACTAACCTGGACAACACGGCAAGAACCCATCTCTACAAAACAAAACTTTTTTACATTAACAAGATTTTCAAAGAGCAGATCATAGTTCCTTGGACACAGCTTCTTATATCCAGTGGGTTTATTATCTAACCCAAACATGCAGGAAGTCAAATGTTCAGAAGCTACAGGTCTTCCATAAAAGTTTTCTAATGCTAATAATTTCTAAAAAGGCCTCCCCCTAGCCTAACACGCATTCTCCTCTGGCTGTGAACCCTTTCTGAACTGCCATCATAAATACCCTATGTCCTGTCCTCGCCCAAGCCTCAAGCAAGCGGGACCCCGAGTCCGGTCCCAGTTCCTGAGAAAGGCACACACCTCAGGAAACCATGGGGCTTACTAATCAACTGCAGAATGACAATGGACCTCGGACCTTTCGCGGGACTAGCTTTCCCCTTTACCATCTCACACAGGCTCTTCCGGCCACCCCGTGCACAGGACTCA